TTTATGGTTAAGGCCTGTAAGGTTAGTGCACTGATATTAAATAAAAACATAAAAAAAAACATAGCTAACTAATTGATTTTCAGCTGGGGTCAAATTGACCCCGCCCAGGCTTTCTTGTTGGTTCAGAGGCTCAGGCAGACTAGGGTTAACAAACACTGTTCGCACTGGGGAAAAAAACACATTGGATCTAGAGTCCAGACTCTTAAAAACATCGACAAGAAAAAATACTCTTGATTCAATCGGATTTTTCCTTAAATCAAGAACCAAGCCCCTTTAATTTGAGCGGATTTCCTTTTGATTTAAGCTAAAATCTGATTGAATCAAGAGTATTTTTTCTTGTCAATGTTTTCAAGAGTCTGGACTCTAGATCCAATGTGTTTTTTTTTTTCCAGTGCGAGTCACGTGCGAACACGCCAACTCGCAAACCTTCTTTGATGAGCAATCGACTCTTTCTACAAAACTTTGTTCAAATGACTCAGAGCTAAGACCCACCTTTAAGGTGCCTTTCATTCCTCAGACAACTTTTGTGAGAAGATTCTCGAGTTCGCAGGAATTGTCACGTCGTCACGACTGCTCCGGGGGGTGGGGTAGGGGTGAAGGGGGAAGGGTTGCGCCCGGAGAGCGCGGCGTAACACTGAATTTGGCCACAATGGGTTATTGGCCGGGGCCGGTCTGAGTTGCGGCCACGGTCACTTTCACTGGCGCATGATCATGACCACCGCCGATCGTTAATCGCCTCGAATATTGTGCCGGCTACGGCCGACCGGGCACACGGTCGCACATGAGGTCGTCTTCCTCGCCTTTAAAGACCCTGAAACCCCGCAGATGAGAAAGATGAGGGATTTGGGGAACTTTTTTGGAGAAAAAGCTAATGTGTCCAGGGGCCTAATTTTGTCGGCTTTTTCACACGGAGTGCAACATCCACCGATGAGTTCAAACCGCACCACCGGCCAATCAGAAGCGCTAAGCCGGACTTAAGTGCAGTCGAGACCCGTCCTAAGTATATTTTAGTACGGTGGACGGATCGACAAAATTATTCGGCCCCAGTTCTTAGTCGAGTGCACAGGGAATGTACCCTACGTGGCACCCCTAATGACTCTAGAGCAACGTGGTCAAAATAGAAGAAAACCCGATTTTCGAAGAAGTTCAGATGATTGAAAGCTAAGTGATTCCTTCAGCGGTGGCGGCACGCGGCAATTGTTTTTGAAAGACATTCTATGATATAAAAAATATTTTAGAAGAACCTCGTGCCAGTTACGAATGAGAAGGGCCGTTAAGGACCCTGGATTTCTATACTTCAAGCGTCTCTTGCTGGTCTGGTAGATGGTCTGAATTTTATGAAAAGAATTGATTTCAGCCGATCATTCTCATCTTTTCACTCATGAAGTTTTGACCATTTTTTCATGGTTTTTCCGAGATTAAAAAATCTGAAATAGTACCTGGCTGTACCATCTAAAACGAGAATGTTGTTATCTTTATCGTTGTTATCCAACTGTGGATGGCCGAGTTTTCAGCCGGAACGTTTCGGTTTTATTCGTGAAATTTCAGCTTTGTTGCCCACATTTTAAATTGTTTTCTTGTTGTATATCTTGTCACGGGCTGCGGAGCATCTATCATACCTCAAGTCTCGTTAAATGCGCTCGTTTCGTTTGATTTAATTTCTGTTTGGTTGGAGAGAGGCAAAGGGTGTTATAAAATTATTATAAATGATTTTCGAGTCTCTCCACTGTGCGGTCTAAGACGCCTCCTCATGAGTGCGGGCTCCGATTTTGCGATATTACGACCGATGGAGCGTAACCATTTCGCAGACGGACATCAGTGGCTGATGCCCATCGCTATGAATCAATTATAAGGAAAAGTTGCCAAACGACGTCACTTGAGTGCGACAATGGCGTCTTAAACCCGGAGCATCAGCCGGGCCGGGCGCCATTGAAAGTGAAACCTCCACCCACTGATCGTTCTTCGAGAAAGTTCCGCTAATTTTTGGCTGCTGAGATGTTTTTGGAGGCATTTGTAGTACAGTCTCATACATGGCTTTGCCAACAGTTTTGGCAGTGCTGCTTAACATGCAGGAAATTTTCTCCCTTTAACCTCAAATTCAAATAATAGGTATGGATTATAATTTATCGTTTTCCGGGCGAAGGAAAAATTCTGCATTTCAATGTTGAAAAATTGACTCGAAAATTTCAATTTTTTACAAGAATGTATTTACGCGATTTTTGTTCGAAATCGTCTTATTTTCACACGAAACTAGCCGAAAAATCAGGGACATTTGTTTTTGGAAATGCCCAATATTCTCTTGGTGAAAATTCAATTTACTGAAGGAAATTCGGCAACAGCGAAATTTAATTACGTTCTTTTGTGTGGGGAACGACAATTTGTCACTTAGTTATTTCAGTTATTACATGTAAAACCGTTAATATCTGTGCTTTCCTTTCGAAAAATAGACTATACTTTAATAAGTAGACAATAATTTAATGTTTTGTGTGTTTCAGTATGAATCAACAACTTTTAGGATGGGTGCTTCTGAGCTTGATATCGGCAGCTTATGTTCTTCCCACACTGGCCCACCCAACAGACTCCATGGCTTTGGCCAAGAAGATAGCAGAAAAGCCTAATAGCTCGAAGAAAGTCATCCTCGAGGATCGAAACGATCTTGACGATGTCTCCACCAATCAAATTAGTCAAGTAAGTGTTATTTCATCCTATTGGTCCTCTTGGTAAACTAAGTAAAATTGACAATATGGAGGTGGGGTCGTATCTATTTACTGTGTCTAGTTCACTTGCAACATTAATTGATCAACATAGGGAAAGTTCTGCGTCACTTTTAATGCTTACATACAGGGTGCTCCTAAAGTTCCGCACCCACCCTGTAACCTCTGGGTTTCCTGCCTATTTTAGGGGTTCTCACTTTAAAATTTTGTGGAGTGCCCAAAAGTCGTTTCCTCTAATTCCCAGGAGCACACACACAATTTCAATTCTGTATATCAATTAGTTCTAAAATTCCAGGGGTGATACTTGGTATACAGAACTTTTGGATCACCCTGTAAAAATAAAAAGGAAAAAAAAAACAATTTTTCCCTATAGTGCAATTATTAACAAAGTATTTTGGCGATATTTCTAAGAAGGAAAAATGAGTGTCTGACCTCTTTTTTTATTTTAATTTTGCTGTCTACCTATCCGAGAAACTGTGACAATGAAATTTCATTCGGTACTTTAAATGAGGAATTATTGATTTATCTTATTTTTTCTAATTACAGGCAGATGGAGGTTTCTCCTGGAGCAATATGTTGGGCATGGTAATGCAACTGCTCTTCAATCCATCAGGCTTGAACCAGCAAGTTGGACCAAGTAAATCTGAGGGCTTAGATACTGATCAGGTATTGTCACCAACGTTAATATTTCAAAAATGACTTATCACGTTGACTCTTTTTTTAAAGAAATTATCAATGTAAATCATGTGTCTACAACTGATTCTGAGCCACCTAGGCTAAAAATGCTTTGATTTTGGGACGTTGTCCTTAAATTGCTCAACTTGTACGAAGAAAATTGTCTTCATTTCCCCTCAAAGTAAAATATGTCTTTTAAACTAACTCCAATTCAAGAGAAAGGGCTCTAAATAAACTGTATAATATCTGTTTGAATACGCATCATGCACATTTCAATAGCATTTGTCGGCACAGCTTGGGTTGAAAGAAAATTATCTTTACCAACGCGGAGTTAAGAATAAGTAAGTAAGTGAACCACTTTAATCAGTGCGTAACTGAACATCCAATTAAATCCGAGATCTATGCATCTCTTATTTGAAAGAACGGATTGATTAAGATGCAGGCAATTCCACGCGGCAGACCAAATCAGACTTGTGCGTTAGTAAAACCGGTGAAAATTATATATACACGCTGTGTGAAATTCTGTTAGTGATTGAAATTGGGTTGCAATATTTCTCAGAATTCCTTTAATTAATGCAAATACAAAAGTAGTTTTGAATCAATTTTTTTATTTAATTTTTTCCGAGAGATTAATTTTTTTTTTCTTTTTTTTTATAAATCTTTGATACTGTTTGATTTTTTTTTATTTTACCTCTAATTTGTGCCCCTATTCATTAAATCAAAATTTTAAGAAGTTTAAGAGGTGACTCTTCTTCCGTCATTGAGGTGCATTATTGCAGTAGGGAATGAGATTCGTTACTTACTTCTTTAAATGAAAGTGTTAATGTATACCTTGCTTCTATGTGATACACAAGCGAGATGCAAAATGCACTGATTTTCTATTCTTCATACCCCCGCATTTAAGTCACCGTTGAGGTACATTATTGCGGTAGGAAAGATTCGTTATGCACTTCTTTAAATAAAAGGGTTAACGTGGGTAATGTTGATTATAACTCCTTTTTTATTGATACACAAGCGAGATGCAAAATTCACTGATTTTCTATTTTTCATACCCCCGCATTTAAGTCACCGTTAAGGTACAGTATTGCAGTAGGAAAGATTCGTTATGCAATTCTTTAAATAAGAGGGTCAACGTAGATAATGTTGATTATAAGGATTATAACTCCTTTTTGTATTGATACACAAGCAAGATACAAAATGTGATTTCCTATTTTTCATACCCTTGCGTTCAAGTCACCGTCGAGGTGCATTATTGCGGTAGGAAACTTTCCTTATGTATTTCTAATATCATGTGCTCAATCGGAAAACAAAAAAGAAACAGGAATAATGAGAGAGGAAGAAAATAAATAAACAGCAAATTATATTCAAGTTCTGGAGGCATGCGGTAAAATTTACTATCAGCGTATCCTTTCATTCAATGTAGTTTATGGAAAGTTAAAGAGGTCACATTTCTTAGACTAAATCGGACTTTCGAATCGGAAGCTTATGAATACATTTTTAAATGAAAAAGAGTGAATCGTACATTAATTTCTCATATACAAATCAAATATAATATTTTGTAAAAACTCTGTGATCAACTGACCATTATAAGACTGCATGGATTCTAAAACCTGATTGAATACATAGTCAATTATTGGGTTCAGTGACTCAGTCAAACGTGGCCGGCCCACCTGGCCCACATTTGGAGGAGTTGTGGACCACGGTGGTTTGTTTACAAACAGAAACGAGTAACGAGTTTTCCGTGGAATGCGGGAAGCCAGTTCAGTCAAGATCAATTTAGTAAGTGTGTGTCGCCCGCGCCATGTTAGACGTGGCCGTCTGAGGGAAGAGGCGGGGAGCTGGGATTAAGGCGCCAATTCGACTCAAAAACTAACATTGCTTATGGAAAGTCACTTGAGGAATCCTTAGGATTGTGACAAATCTGGCATCCTCGCGTAGATTCCGGGCGTCGGTCCACGATCCACGAACCGGGAACGAGGTCAAGGGAACGGTCGCCGCAAACACTTGATCGCTTTATCCACACCGCTCAAAGGGCCATCGGGAAAGTTACCTCCTCGTTGAAAAAGGTCCTAACGCTTGGGCTTCGTAAATAATCTTCAAAAATGCCTCCAATTAATTTCAAAAACAGCGGTAGTGGTTTGCACGTCATACTTGCAATCTTTGGGATCTCTTAAATCCTCAGAACATGGTGCTTCACATAAGTTCTCACATTCGTGAGATAGCATGAAAGTCCTGCTCCCTTAGGCCGTAGTAATTAGGATGAGAACAGAAAAGGTGTAGAGAAGGAACACACGATATGTGACTGGTGTTTGATCTATATCGTCCACTGGAAAAAGAAGTCTCTTTAATCCAGTCTTCAGCCTCTTAAAAATCTGACAAGAAAAAACACTCTCGATTCAATCAGATTTTTGCTGGAGTTGAAAGGAAGTGCGCTTAAATTAGGAGGCTTGGCTCTTGATTCAGGCAAAAATCCGATTCAATCAAGAATATTTTTTCTTGTCAAATTTGTCAAGGGTCTGGACTCTGGATCCCAGAGACTTTTTTCCAGGGCCTATTTTTGAAATGGTGGCGCCCCCTGTGCGACCCAAGCTGGAGGCGGGAGTTTGTGAGCTGGCTTCATCTGATACCTTTCCAAATGGATGGTGGATAGTAGATAGGTGGATCGGTGACCTGGCATGAATTGCGATGTATCGATTGTTATGCCCTTTAAATATATGGTAAAGAATCGATTATTAAGGTGTTCCCTGCGAACACCCTGTTTTTCGATCCTTCTCCATAGGTTTAAGTGGCATAACAATCGATACGTCGCCACTGCGGTGGATCCTGGACCCCGACCCTGGATCCGGACCAATGCCGTCGCCACGACCTCACGCACCGGTCATCGACCCGCCGTTTTTCGAGTGCGTCGTACAACCGCGGTGTTGTCATCATCACTAAAAATGGATGTATTTAAATCAAAAGGAACTGCGATAAAAAAAAAAAAAAAA